TGCAGTTGGGTCAGAATAACTGAGGAGCCCAGTGCAGGTTGGGGTCTGTGTGGCTGGGGAGAAGCCTTGCTGTAAAGTACCAGAGGGTCTTGGCAGACAAAAAATTGGACATGAGTCAGCACAGTTCTGCTGCAGCAGCAAAGCCAAATTGGATCCTGGGCTGCATTCTCAGGGGCATTGCTAGCACCGATAGACAGGCAGTCATCTCAATCTACTCCGTGCTTTTCAGACTGCACCTGGAGTATTAGGTCCAGTGCTGGTCCCTACTTTTAAAGAATGATGTGGATAGACTAGAGATGGTCTAAAGGAGGGCCACCAAGAGGAACAATGGTGGAGAACACCACTGTGAGGAAAGACTGAAGGAGTTAGGTCTTATCTCCTTGAAGAAGAAAAGGCTTGGGGATGTTTTTTTCATGGTATTCAGGTATTTAAAGGGCAACTACAAAGAGGATAGAGAAAATCTATTTGGAGAGAGCCACATAAAGAAAACAAGGGATTACAGGTACAAACCAGGAGGGTTTGTAAAAAAAGGTTTAAACTCAACATAAGAAAGAAATTTTAACAGAAAGAAAATCAGCTACAGAAACAACCTCCCCAGAGGTATGATAGAGCCCCCTGTGTTGAAGGTTTTCAAGATACAATTAGACAGAGAGATAATCTCATCTTCTATGAAATCTGGAATTATTTTCAATAAGAAAATTACATGGTCCCACTGTTACTGCACGCTTCTTGCATTAACAAGTGCCTGAATTACTGCAGGTCATAAAGAGGATTTACAGGATTTACCTTACTAAAAGGTGAACATGCAGGAGTTTTTCTTCATTTTCTCAGATATTTTGTAATTTGCTTTGATGTTATGCTTACTATAAATATTTATAGGACTAGTAGAATAATAGAAGCCTGAGAACAAAACCATACATTTTATATGCATCTATTTCTATAGTAAAATACATGTAGCACTCTGCATTCCACTGATTTTTATAAGTAAATATTAACTTTATCACATTTAGGCAATATTTACTCAAATTTAATCTGTTACCTCAGAATCACAATAGGACACAAAAAATGTACCTGCTACCCACAATGTTTCAACTGATTTAAAAGAAGTCAGTTACACACAGACTTGTGCAGTGGAGGCATTAGAGGGGCACTTTGCAATAGCATCCTTTACATTTCAAATCTATTTCGCTATTCTTAGTTTTTGTTCCCATTTGCCAGGCTGGTGAGGCTGTCAACAGCTTCAGCCACATCACCCACACATGAATAGACATGGCTAGCTGTGATTCCACCCTTGAGGGCACATTAATTTCTATACTGAAAATGGTGTGTTCCAATTGTTTTGATGCTGGTACAGTAGTGGACCTCACCATGTCATGCCAGATGGTTTAATCCTCTCCCAGACACGCGTAGACCTTTGTTGCCCTTCTAGGTCTCTCTCCAATTGAAAATCAGAGCAGTTCTTTGCCCCTCTTATGTACCAAGGAGACCTATAATCTCTTTCCCTTTCTATAAAATTTCAGACATGTAAGTGTTTTAGGGCTATTTCAAGTCAATCCTAGTCCTAATATGAGGGTGGTTTATGGCCAAGCTGATGCTATGAAACCTTCAGGGCATATCTCTTTCAATCTTCCCAGTCAGATCAGGAGATTGGAGAGCATACAATACATATTTTCAAAGATTGCCTATTCACCACTGGAAAAAGTAGCTTCAGAAGGTTGCTTACAGATAGGCTTTTTGTAGTAGAAGAATTAGCAAAGAAGAGATCGTAAATATAAATTCTATATTGGCAAAAAAGAAGCTGGCATTTAAAATATGCAGCTTCTAAGCAAAGATTTTTTTCTAAAGATCTGCAAAGTAAAAAACACGATCATACCTATAGTTACCAAGAAAGGACAAAAGAAGAAAATGGACTGATAATGTGAACAATTTCATACAAGCATGTATTTTTATCTTCTCTGCTTGCCAAAACAGGTTCCTACCTAAAATTTTAACACACTGAAGTTAATCCATCACTTTTTAAAATTTAATACTGAGATAGTAAGCTTGATATTTCCACATTTCATCTTAAAATGAGGTCCAAATGGCAGTCACAATCTAAACTCAGATACAAAACACTTGTAGGTGCTAGGGTAGAATAAACAGCAAGTGGCCATGGAGTAGGAAATTCCTCATTTGTATATAAGAGGTGATGGATGTATAAAAGTAAACATAGATTCAAATTATTTACCCTAATCACTTTTAGAAACAGCAAAAAAATCTTGAGTCAGAAAAATATATCAAGTATGACAAGAAAAATATTATTATTTATTCTTAACACTGTGATTTAAAGAACAGAATTCTGAAAGAAATCCTCTAAGAAAGAAGTGGAGGCTTGTGCAGGAGGAAACAAATCACCAGATTAGAGGTACTGTTTCTGTTTCACCCCACCAAGTGGGTGTGGAAGAACAGAAAAGTACATAAAGCGTTTCAGAGGTCCTGGCTTTGCTCATATTCATATAATACAAAAAGCTATATTCCAAGTCTTTTTGTATATTTTAACTCTTGGCATAGAAGACATACCTTTTCTACTATGAGTGAACAATTTTTGATGAAGGTTTTGAAGAAACAGCATTGACCAGATGATTCCATGCAAGTACTAGTGTCTGGTACCAAGTACAAATACTTCAGTCCTTGTGCATATTCAGTTTGTTATCCTTCTATGGTCCTCTATTCTCTAATGATCAGTGGCAGACTGTTGCTGTGCCCCATAATGAAATAAAAGTTCTCCCCAAAGAGATAAGGAAAGCATCTACCATTCAAGGCTGTTGGAATGAGGTACCATCCATGGATTCAAGTGGCTTTTTGGGTTGTTTTGTTTTGGGTTTGTGGGTTTGGGTTTTTTGTTTGGTTGGGGGGTTTGGCACTTTGGTGGTTTGTTTGATAGTTTTTGTTGTTTGGTTGGTTTGGGGTTTTGTTGAGTTGCTTTCTTTGCTTTGTTTTTTAAACAACCACCACAAACATCCCATCGCCAATACTGGGGAAAAAAGTCTTTTTCTCTTTCTTATATGTGTGCCTACACTTTTCCTTCCTACTCTATATACCAACTAATGTTGATGTGGGTTTTCTCATTTAAGACTAGACTTAAACTGAGTCCACTGGCAACTTTTTGGCAACTTTTTAGAAACTTTTTTATTGATTTGACTGAGCTTAAATCCTTTGGATTTCAATGCTTGAGTAATATGCTGCTATTATTATGTTGAACTAGTTTTGTAAAATCCAGAGGGACCTTGACAAATTTAAGAAGTGGGCCAGTGAGAACCTCATGGAGTTCAGCAACGTCAAGTGCAAGCCTGGGTGAGGAAAAGATTGTGACTAGCTCTGGGAAGAAAGATGTGAAGGTGTTTACAGGTGAGAAGCTCAGCATGATTTGGCTATGCCCTCATAGCCCAGAAAGACAGCTGTGCTCTGGGCTGCATCAGCAGGTTGAGGGAGGTGATTCTTTCTTTCTACTCTGCTCTTGTGAGCCCCCACCTGGAGTGCTGCATCCAGGTCTGGGGTATCCAACACAAAAAAGACATGTGCTTGTTAGAGCAGGTCCAGAAGAGGGGCACTGAGTTGATCAGAGGGCTGGAGCACCCCTCCTATGAAGACAGGCTGAGAGAGTTAGGGCTGTTCAGCCTAGAGAGGGAAAAGGCTCCAGAGATACCTTAGAACACCTTCCAGAACCCAAAGAAGAATCGGTGTAGTGGTTTAGATTTGCTAATTTTGTTTTCCCGGCCAATGCAACAAATAAATGTCATGGTTTCAAAGCAGTAACTAAAAAAAATATTAGAAAACTTACTTATTTCTTGCTATGAGATATGGATTAGAACAAGAGCAAAACAGGTTTAAAACTTAAAAGGAATAAAGAAAGTTTATTAACAAAACTACAAGAATAAGAACACAAGAATAAACCTCCAGAAAACCCCTTTATCCCCCACTACTTAACCATTCTCTCGTTCACATGACAACATGGAGACAAAAATCTTTGCAACTTTGGTGTTTAAAACAGTCCCAATTCCTGCTAGAATCTTTTCATCAGTTTTTGTAGAGAAACAGAAGTCTTCTGCTAATCTATGGAGTTTCTCACGAGAAAACTATTTCTGTTATAGTTTTCTATTTTTCTGATGCCAGCTGCCCAGAAATCTGCCATCAGTTCACTCCTCCCGTTTCACATCACTCTGAGGTGTGTATGGGTCAATGAGTCTAGGGATGTCATTTTTAAGGATGGGTTATTCAAAGGCAAAAGTTCTCTTCATTTGCCTCTGTGAGCTTTCCTGGAAAACAGAAGTTTTCTCTTTGCCTCAAGTGGCCCCAAATCTTCAACTATTACTTCTCTTCACTCTGTTCCAGCACCTCACTGTATCACAATTACTCTACCTTTTGCTCAAAATCCACACTTTGAACACTCCATTCCTCCCAATATACTCTGTCATGAATTAAAGTTTTTTCAGAACACTATTGTCCATCTCCATATCTTTAACAGAAAAAATATTTCAGCTTATAAAGCATCTCCTTATTCTCTCTTCTCCATCTAAAACTTAACTCTTTTCTTCACTGTCTTTGATGATTTTATGATGTCTTTTTCATGTTAATTGTCTCTCTCTGTGTCTCTGAGAAAAAGGAGTAATCTGTACATTTTATCCAGGTAGTAAAAGAATTAAAGTCTTGCTCAAGCTGCAGATGTTCACGGTGTCAGGTTTCAGTTCAGCGGCAGAAACTACAAACCAAGCCAGGCCGGCCGGCTCCGTTTCTCTCCCCGCCCCTCCCTGCGGCCTTGTCCGGCCTGGAGGTGGGGGTGGAGGCCGAGACGGGGCCTGTTACCTTTTCAGAAGCCATAAACCAAAAAAAGTAAAACAACTCTGGCTTTACATCTTAAGGTGGTGTTCACAAGTTGATCTCACTTTTCAATGGTCAAAACTGCTGTCAATTCTTAGAAATGACTGATAATTGGTCAGGAGAAAAGACTCCCATCAGCCACCAGCAGCTTCAACTTCCTTAGCTCCCAAAGCTATCTTAAAGGTAAAGTCACCCTATGACAATAGGGGTTTTAAATGTAATGATAGGACAAGAGGGAATGGTCTTAAGCTGAAGGAGGGTAGGTTTAGATTTGACATTATGAAAAAAAAATTTACTGTAAGGTCGATGAGGCACTGGAACAGGTTGCCCAGAGAAGTTGTGGACTCCCCACACCTTAGAGTGCTCAAGATCAGGTTGGATGGGGCTCTGAATAACTTAGTCTAATGAAAGATGTCCCTTCCCCCTTGATAGGGGTCAGAATCAGATGATCTTTAAGGTCACCTCCAACACAAACCCTGCTATGATTCTGTGAAAATCAAAGTTAGAGGATTTTAGAGAAAGCTCAACAGGACATATGATTTAGAGATTGTACCATACTAACACACTCGTCACTGCTTCTTTCTCCACTCTATTGAAGGAGGAGACCCTTCTCCTTACAAGGTAAAATGTACAATTCTTTAATGGTATTTTACTTTGAACATGTTTGATACTATAGAAAAGATCACAGCAGGAATTTCTGAGAACCACTAGACTAGAAAGCATGCTTTCCCCCAGTCCTCTGTGCCTAATTTGTTTCAAACTTGCTGCTTTTTGTTTAGATAGTAGCCTAAGGATTCATCTGCCTCCTGAGAGATGCAGTAATAGAGATTTAGAAAGAAAGATTCTGATTACATAGGGCTTCAAAGACTGAATGCTGTGTCTTGATTACACAAAAATCGTGGAGCGCTAACAATCCACCTGTTTTTCTTTAAAGTCTATTTCATCCCAAGTACAATAATTTCATTCTGAATTGCAAAATAAAATTCTTGCACGTAGTTTGTATTCCCATATCAGTAGTTCTTCCCAAAATAGGTCATGAAGATTCTCTTTGGATTACATTCGCACCTTGATTTAGGTTGGAAAAGAAATGATAACACATCAGTAAGAGAGAAATAAGGAAAAATGAGAAAGCTGGAAAGAGCAAGTTCTCCTTTTCCATGGCCTCATCTCTAAAATGTGAGAAGTCCATTTCAAATTTGTTGAGAGTTTTAAATGCTCAGACCAATAGCATTTATAATCATTCAACAGTCAATAATTCTGTGGAACCATGGTGTCAGTGGCTGAAGTCAATTGAACTGCACTGAACAGCCACATGAATAAAATATTAATAAAGTGGCAGCCACAGGTTTCAAATACTGTTCACTGCTTACTATTTTGAAAACGATTTGGCTTACACTACACAGTATTTTGAACTCAAAAGTGAAATATTTGAAACAGCAGTATATCGAGTGTCTCTGAAGGCCTGACTAATGCTGACTAATGAAAGATATTTATTTAGAAAATTAATCTGTATTTTCTAGCTGCTAAGCAGGTTCTATCTCTGGGCTTCTTCTTCCCAAAGGAAGACAATTGATGTAGTGCAATGCATTTATCTGAAGAGACTGATTTCAGCAACATGCAAGAAACCCTTACAGCAACAATAGTTCTGGGGTTAGGGTGGGGATGGAAGACTAGGAAGCATCTTCACCATTCAGCAAGATCTGTTTATGATCCAAGGAATTGCAGCCCACTCCCAAATGCAGATCCATGCAGGTCTACGTTTTTGGGTACATCAATATAAAGAGGGACATCAAACTATTAGAGTGTGTCCAGGGGAAAACTGGTAAGGTAGAGAAAGGTCTCAAGGGTAGGACTTATGAGAAGTGTTTTAGAAAATTAGTGTTTTAGAAAATTCATTAATTTCTTATTCTAACATTGTTATCCTAGTAAGTTTTCCATTGTTGCGGCTGGGTCCTAGGGGCCTGTCTGACCCCTGGCTTCTGCTGGCAACAACCCAGATAGCCAGGCTGTCCCAGGGGACAGAGCCATGCTCCGGGGTTCTGCAGGCAGTCTCCAGCCAGGGGCAACCCTTGGAGCATGGGCAGAGGTTTTAGGGTGATCATCTCTTTTAGAAGTGATTTCTGCCCTGTGATCAGCTCAGATCAGCCCAGCCAGCTCTGTTAAGGTGTTACCTCTGCCGACGCAGACAAGAGACAGGTAGACCATGTGGTGTTCTGCAGAGAGTCTTTAGTGCGGGCTTCAGTGAAGGGGGACAGTGATGGTCTAACCAAGGATCTGGGTAAAAGCTGGGGTTTTCATAGGGAAGGGAAGAATTGGGAAAAGGGCCAATGGTCTGAGACTGGGATAAAATGACCAATAGTTAACAGGGAGATAATATGGGGTCCTGAAGCAGGAAGGGGTCCACAGCTTAGTCACCGTGACTAGGCAGTTTTATCTTATCTTAGGGGGTTGATCTCCAGGGAAGATGCCTTTCAGAGGACTGGGCTTCCTCCGCATCCTATATCTAGTTTTCCAATATAATTTCCCTTTTACTCCAGAAGGTACCTGCGTACAATGAAATTTTAATCAGCATGAAGAACATCCATAGGAAAAATGGAAGGGAAAATGAAGGTAAAGAGCAAAAATGTGTCAACATTTGTGCAGATATTTATGTTAATAATCTGCAAGTATAGTCAAGATATTTACAAGTAGGATGCTTGTCACATAATTTCCAGATTATTTGAATAAAGAAGAAATAATTAGTTCTAAAGCCAAAAGGTACACTTCTGGCATTCAGAAGTATATTCACACTTCATTTACCAGATATACTGAATATAGGTAAAACATATAGGAAAATTAAAATTATACTAAATGAACTGATATTATCAGTCAAAAAAGGAAAAGAATTCTGTGTATTCAGCCCTTCAGATCTCAAAAGCCAACCACAACTCATATGCAGATTTGGAATAATTTCTCATGTTTAGCTATTATACCATTACATTCACACGAAGAGCTTGCTCATTTTTCTAATGAATAACCAATTGTCATTCTGCAAGTCATTCCACATCCTGAGACCATAACAATTAAGTCAAGCCTTACATAATATCTTACTGGAATTTGTCATTTAACCCTTTCTTTGCATTTATAACTCCATTATCAATTTTCTGCATTTTTAATTCCCCATAATTAATTTATTACATAATCTGTTTATGAGCTTAACTTGTTCATGTAATTAATATTCTTCTGCTTTTAAAGATTTATACATTGGTTCTCTGCATCACTACTTTATGAATCAATTTTGAATATCATTAATCAATTACATTTTCCCAGAACACTTGATTATTGTAACACTGTCAGCTACAATTGTCTTTCCTTCCAGTCATTAACTTAATTTAATTATATTCTTATCCTTGAAACACCTTTTTTGTCCCAAATATAGAACTTTCAGATTCTTGCATTATTCATTAACACTATTCCAGTTGAAACAATCATATCACACTCACAAGATTTGCTTCCACCAATCTCACTTGAAGAACGCCTCCACAAGATAGTCCTCAGCCCACCCCAGTTAACAAAGATTTTTTTTTTTCTCTACTACATTTCTGAACAAATATCACTTTTCCCTCCCAAATGATCTATTTCTGAGACATACTGGTGTCTTCTCAGTCTATTTGTTTTTTAAATTATACCCTCTTAAACCATTCAAATCTATCTATGCAGGACGTCTGCAGTTTTGGGACCATCAATACAGGAAGGACATCAAACTGTAACAATGTGTACACAGGATGACAGACAAGGTGGAGAAAGATCTCAAGGGCAAAACTTATGACAAGAGTCTGAGGCCTCCTGGCTTGCTCTTGTTTCTTCAAAACATTTTTAATTTTCAGTTTTCTAAATGTGAGATAGATATTAAGCAATTTATTTCAGCATGTCCTAAAAGAAATGTTCTATTTGGAACAAAACATTGATCTGGAGTAGAAATTAAAATCCACATCTGCAGGTCAGCAGATGTCCATGTAGTAAGACTAGTAGAATTTAAAATAAGCAAATAGCAAGTTTTCACCAACCAGATGTACAACTAGTCATTTTAAGAAAACTAGGCATTTCAAGGAAAAGGCACTGTTATTTTCAGCCCTCAAATCATTGCAATATGTTTCTGGTTTTGACCTTTAAAGTGAAAAAAGTACAAAAACAATTGTTTGGCTTTAGAATGAGTTTCAGTGTTTGGGGTTTTTGTTTCTTTTTTATTTTAATGCTGAACAGATTGTTGTTTAGCCTTTTCTTTAGCCAATAAAATTTTTATATTTTCACAATGGTTTATAAATCAACTTTGTGATTACTTAAAAAATTATCACTAGAACAATTATAAAGTCATTAATAATAAAATTGTGCCTTTATTGTCAGCATGACTGTTTTTCAAAACTTCAGAAAGTTTTTATTTTATTTCCAGCATTCCATGAAATATCCTATACTTTTCATTCATTTAATCACACTTGAATAGCAACCCCCCTCCCCCATCAAATCTTAAAATCAGAAAGCAGAAAAAATCTAAGAGATACAATTGAATCCACTGTGAATTCACAAGTGAATCCTGTGAAACATTAAATAAATGTGCCACTCCAATAGCCTGAAAAATTTGCTTGAAGCAGTGCATTGAACTCAGCTTTTCTATTCATGGCAAAATTGCAACTGAGATAGTTTTTCTTTATAAAAATTTTCTAGTCTGAACAGTTATCTGTGGTGGTATCCATAACCAATAATAAAAATGTTACTCAAAAGTCTTAGGCTCCCATTGTAAAATATGTGACTTTAAATCATAGCCAGTCTTTCACATTTGACTAAATTAATCATGCTATGAAAAAGTGAAAAGGGAAAAGAGTACCCAAGAAGGATTTTGTCTCAATATATGAGCAAAAGATACTTTCATTAACAGAGCAACAAAAGCAAGAAGAGATCTAAAAATTAATTTCCAGCAGAAATCAACAGTGATTGCAAGAGAACCACAGTAAAAAACAACTCTGTGACAGAATGGATTATATCTAGAGCAGGAAGACTGCGTGAACTTTTTCTCTTTTCAAAGAACCACCTCCTATCCCCATCCAGAAGTTAACAGAAAACACATTATACAGGCTACTAGGAAGTACAGCAGTTCTCCATTAATTGCCTGTCGATTGAATTAACTTATATTTACCTTGTCATTGCTATACTGAAGACTAGAGAGAGCAGGATATGTTAAGCAGCACTAGTACACAGTCCTAATTCATGTGGAAAACGAAAGCACATCAGAAGACCTATCTGACACTTACAAGTATTTGTCAAGACCACCAGAGCCATTTTGAGGCACCCTCTTCTCAGACAGATTTTATGTCACCTAAATTCCAATTTGAGAGATTGGGTTTCACAGGAGGACTTCAGTGCATTACTAAAAATAGTATAAAGAACAGGAAATTGAAACTTTCACTACCCCCCTTAATTCATTGCTGCTGGTACCAAAATTCATTTACTTTCAGGGAAAACAAGTACTTGTTTGTATCAAACATGTCAGAAATCCTGATTCTCTTAGAGAAAACTTATACATTCTAAATGTAGAACTGAGAGGTCCTCAGAGGTACTAGAACTTTGGGACATAATTTAAAGTTTATGTCTTTTAATATAGTGAAACATTAGCCAATAATTTATAGTATTCCTGTATTGTCTACTCAATATTGTTTCCTTCAGAAAACTATTTCCATAGGAGATTTATCTAAATCGTAATTCTCTAGATATTTAAGGGAAAAAAATTAACTCCTTTGCTATATTCTTTAATTTCTCCTGAAATTTTTGGCAAAAAAAAAAAAAGCCAAACAATACTCTGTTTCTACTTGTTATTATGTCATGCAAGACAATGCACAAAATACCGAAGTAATTTCAAAGACATACAGTTGGCATCATTATTTTGCTATTAGGGATACTTTTGGAGGTTACAATTATTCTTGTATTTTTAGTTATGCTATATAGGTAACAAACATACTAACATAAAACAAACATAAAACTAGGTGGTACTAGGGATAAAAGTGCCAAATAAACATTCCAACTTTTATTAAATTCTTGACTCAGGAATGCTATAATAATTTAGTGATCCACCACTGTCTGAAGAAGCAGTGAAAATATGACAGAAAGGACTTTCTAAAAAACACACATGAAGATCACTTAGCATGCCTGGTGGATCTCCATTCATTTTAATGCAGTTGAACAGTGAGATATTTGGTCTAAATATGTTGTACACCATTCTCTGTGTTCAATCTCTAGACGGAAAATGAAATGAAATCACAGCATAAATTTTGACTTTAGTGTTGTACTGGTTTGTCATGACACAGCTACACACACTTCTGATGTAGAGAGTAGACAGATGCTGCAGAAAAACCTCCCTAGTCAAATAATATAACCTTAAACTTTTGGCTTGACTCAAACTTTTGGTGCAAGCATTACCAAGGACTATCAAAGCCATGGTAACTGTTGATTTAAACAGCTGCATGTTCTCATTCTGACAACATCAAAGGTTAAACGACAAGCAAACTACATCCCAAACCTTGCAACAGAAGATTGATTGTTCTTAAACCTAGCATGTTATTATTTGCAGGATAGACTTATTTTCTGCCTACAATTTATAGCACATAAGTGCTTTTACTCCTCAGTATAGGCAGTTCCCCTTCCCTCATTTTCCTATGGAGCAAGGTAAATGAATTAAATAAAAGTTCTGTTTAAGTGAAAAGAGAAGATGAAAAGGCAGGTAGGATACCTTGAAGTACAACAGAATAGTTAAATCAAGTGGTCTATGTATATCAAGCAGTTAAAAGAATACCTTTGATAAATGATAGTTAAATCTTTTCCCTGGATGATGAGGAAGAGAAGCTTAGAATTTTTATCTTCAGAATGTTCAGTAGGGAACTTGTATTACAAATAAATCTAAAATCTTATACAGCTAGAAATCTGCCTTCAGTTATGTGATTACCTTTGAAACCTGTTTAGTCCTTTCTCCATCCCTGAAAAATGATGTCATCAGGTGGTAAAGAATAATCTCTGGGTCCTGGCCATGCCCATCCTGCCGACTGCAAAAATTAGCCCTGTACTGTCCAGAACCAGGACACTTGTACTTCTTTTTCCTCTATGGACAAAAACAATTCATGGTGTTCTATTATTTTAAAATTAATAGATTTTTAGATTTATTGTTGTTGTTTTGAAATAAATAGGTTCAAAGTTTCTCGAAGTATGACAGGCACTGAAGACAATGCTACTGCCTTATTTTCTGCTGTGCTAGCATAGCCATGTAATACAGAAAGTCTTCAATGGATGTATTAGTTTAGACTCTCTCACACGAAATTTTTATTTTGACAACAAATGAACCAGCAAGTTCACCACTGGGTGAACTTTGAGCACTTTTCAGAGAAATCAGTACATCTTTTGTGTTCTCCTATATTAAAACAACACTGGTTACAAGACACATCAATCTTGCTGAGTCATAAAAAATCCATATTTTATTAATTACTACAGTTTGCTGTTTGCTGCAGACACATATTCTCCTCAATATGGAGATGCACCAAGTAATATGCTAGTTGAGGTTTTATTTTTACTGCAGAGGGAGTTAAAAACCTCAGTAAAAGTTGTTTTTCATATTATAATTTATTCTGACCCTCCTAAGCAAATTTTAGCACCATACTTTAGAGACTGGAGCTGAAACACAGCAAATTTTAGCACCATACTTTAGAGACTGGAGCTGAAACACAAACTAGTAACAGTTTAGGCTAATTTTTAAACATTTCAAGAATGCAACAATAATTCTAGATTAAATAGCAAAGTTTTTTCATAGTCAAATGAGATTAGAATAAAAAAAGAACAATTATATTTAAGTTGTTAGCCTTAAAGTAATATAACTTTATCAGAGAATATTTAGTCAGTTGGGCAGCTTCAAAGTCTCCTTCAACTTTTTTAGTCTGCTGGCAAGTAATGAGCTCTTTAAGTCTGGTATCACTATGAATCCACTTAACAAAGCTTTTAATGAATCCTGCTTTAGAGTTAACATTTGCATTCTGAAGTGAAAATTATCTTCTATGAAGATTAATTATTGTATCTGAGGCACAATTTCTCATATTAAGGCGAATCTCCAAAACAAACATGTTCTAGCCAAAACTAAGAAAAGAGTAAAATATTATATCAATTCATAAAGAAGAAGAAATATGCCTATCCTCTAGCTGGATGCTACTGCTAAAATAGTTCCTTATTGAATTTAAAGTTTATACCTCAGAGTACAGTAGCACAGCCACTCATAGCCATTTTCTGTTCAGCTGGATGTGGTAAATTTTTTTATTGAATTATTATTGCTTTTGAGAGTGAAAACTTTTCTATGAAACAGCTGTTTGAAAAGCCTTCAGTTAAATGCAGGTTTATAATCAAAACTGTTAATTACTTGATGAATTGTGAAATATAACCAATAGAAAAAGTGAAAGTCAAAATTTTATCTGTTTGCTTTTGGGGGTTTGGGGTGTTTCTGGGTATTGGGGTTTTTTTTTGAGGGGAATTAGTTAGACTGTTGTTTAGGGTTATTTTGAGGAACATTACAGAAAAGGAAAATGCACCTTGATCATCTTTATTTATTGTATTGGTTTTTTTTCTCATTCTTTTCTGTCTTCTTTTCCTAAAATCAGCCAAGTCCATTCTTCCAAAATATGCTTTTTTTCATTATATACAAGTTAAAGCATATTCCAGGAACAGTTACATTATCCCTCATGGATAATTCATATTGTATGGAGTTAGAACTCAGATGTTACTCCCCCGAATGTCTCTGAGACCCTGACCATATAAACTTGAGCGTGAACTTTGGAAATGACAAGACTAAAAGTCATCTTTCTCAGACAGTTTACCAGTATGAAGCTGCTGCAAATGTCAGAAAATACCACAGTTTATACAAACAGTAAAAAAAGGCCTTTTCCCACCCAGCACTCAGTCTTCATTAACATTAGAACTAATAGGGAAAAAAAAAACAAAACAAATACCCCACAATACATACAGATTAGTTATTTCCTGATATCTAGATAAATCTCATATTGACAATTTTAACTCATGAATAAGATTCTTAAAAAAAATATATATTTTTTGCCAATTACATTATTGAGTATTCTGCAATATTTATCTGAGAAATTATTAAGATTTGCATCTGTAGCTATGTGTTAAAAGACCAGAGAAGTAATTCATTGCTTCAGTGCCATAATTTTGCATTTTGCTCTAAGTTTTTAAAGCATCCTTGACTACTTCTCAAAGATTACTAGAAGCTAACTTGAGTCTGGGTTTGCTGTGGGATGCATCAATACCTTTCTTTCCTCATTTAATGGCTTGATTAAGTAGATAAAATAACTATATTAAAAAGAAAAGCATTTTAGAGATCAGTTCATTTTCTTTTCTTTATAATTCAAGTGTCTAGGTATTCTTTTAGCTAAATTAATAAAAATTTTGTCTACATATCTATCTTGATACATAAAGGGAAAAAAGTATAAACATTTTCCTTTCTAATGTCAAATGGTTTAGGTATTTCTAATCTATGTTTTATAGTCAAACAATGGATTACTGAACTATCAAGAAATATTTCAAAGCTGTCCCTTGCCATTAGATTCCTTAAATTCCACAGATATATGTGACACATTGTAAACTGCTTTTTTAATTCTCTGCAACTATTACAAAAGTCCCACATATGTTCAGAAATTATAATATTATATTATTAAATTATAATATTGTTACTAAACATTTTTATTTACTATTCAAATTTAAATTGAATTTGAAATTTAAATTTAAATTTTAAAATTTAAATTTAATTTTAAATATTTAATATTAAATTATAATATTGTTGTTTTCACAAAATATTGTATTGATCACTAATAGCTCTTCCCACCCCTCCCTCCTCCCCTCCCATTTATTCCAGTTTTCCAAGGATTGCTTTTCTTCAGAAGACTTATTGTCCCATAAAGACAGTAAAGCACTGGCCTCAGTTGACCATGCCACACTGTTTTTTGTTATGAGATGAGCTCTTTCATTCTCCCAACTTCTGCCCACAGCCATCACTGCACTTGTTACAGCTCAGATGGCCACACCAGATAAGAAGGTTTCACGACTGATGGAATATTGGCAGCAGCACCTCTACATTTTCTGATATTTTACTTTCTTTAGTTGCTGCATCACTTGGGTTCACCTATCACACTCAGGTCTGTCTTCTTTAACTTCTGGGTGTAAATTCCAGACAGCAGAAATTCAGAACTAGGTTTTGCATTCGTGTCTGTGTCTTTTGTACCACTAAGCACCGCTGAACTTCTGTTACAGTCCTGGAGTTCACCTGGGACACATTGTACACTAACAAATTCCATAACATGCAAAGTAAACAACAAAGGGAATATGAGAAGGGAACATTTAAAATCTGCCAACAACTTCACTCCAATGAACTTCCTTCAAAAGAAAGTGTTGGTGACCTTTCATATTACTCCTTTTCCTTTTTTATGACATCTCATGAAGTATTACTGTTGGGGGTTAGGTGTCCTTCCTTTTGTTCCTTCTCACCTATAGAATTTTTCCCTTTTAGTGGTGGGGAAATCTGACTGCTGGTACTTACTGAGTGCTTGAGAGCAGAAAGAGTGAGGCTGGGCCCGGGGGAAACGGGGCAGGTAAAAGGGAGGTGAGGGCAGCTGGGGGCTGGTTGGTTTTCTCCAGCTTCAGAGCAGGACACAACTCGGAGCTGAGGTTGATTGGAGAAGAACATTCGCCATCACCCAGATGGAGCTGCTGCTGCTTCTTCTTTTTCTTCATCTGTGGGCCTCATACCTTATTTTCTCAGCTCGTCCCTGCTGTTCCAGCTGGGTGTTCCTCAGAGCCCCGCAGGAGCACCGGGACTGCCCAAGGGGTTTGTGAAGCAAAGCCTCTCCTCCATCCCTTCCCGTCTCAGCCGAGAAAGCTGTCACGAGGTCCCTGGTTCTGTTTTCTTGCTAATGCTGTAGTTATTGTTTGTTTGTTTGCCTTGTTATAAATCTTAGTAAAGAACTGTTATTCCTATCCCCAGATCTCTGCCTGAGAGCCCCTTGATTTCAAATTATAAAAATTCGGGGGGGGGGGGGGGGGGGGGGT